GGGCCTACTGGCCCTGTATTAGGATCCGGTCCAATGTAAAAGTTAAAAACCCTAAAACTGGATGCTGGCGACGCTGGTCTCTTTCGCTCGCACCCTCGCGTTGCGGCGCCTCGCCATGGTCGACCGATGTGGGGTCCCTCCACCTTCGCTATCCCTGACCACGACCTCGAGTGGCGGCGCCACCGGTTCTCTCTGTGTGCCCCTCCGCCGCTGCATCACCGGTATCTCGCTGAAAGGCGCGTCGAGCTTGCCAGATCGGCCCTGCCGCCGTGGATCCAGTATGGGTTACACTGAGATCCCCGTCCATTAATTCTCCGTTGCTTGATTTGACCAAGTTGATTGCTTTCCCTTGGTTAAGATTTGGGCTGAACAAGTACATCGTCCACATCCATAGCCCAAGCTGCGAAACTATAACCAAAAGAATCATTTCACGTTACCGCGACTACCTCGCCTACCTGAAGAATCATCCGGAGCTAGAGAAACATGTCAGCCATAGATGCAGCAGTACCAACCAATTGAAGGAGATGCTGGGAGAGCTATTTGAAGGATGAAAACAGCTTGAGGCATAAAACAGAGCCACCTAACATGTTTTAGAGAGTTCATGTTTTATATTGTAGTTGTATTTTTTGTTTGTAAAGTGAAGCTGTATTCTGAATTTTGTACTACGTGAAGCGTCATATACTATCAACTGGCCACAATCTCTGGGTATCTTGTGATTTGATATCTGATTCTATGTCAAACACTATCTTATTCTCCAGGCAAAAAAAAAACTATCTCATTCTGCCTGCTAATCAACTCACGACAAGTGAACTAGCGGACAAGTTTGGCACGCCGTAGCAAAACAGAGCACAAATCAATGATAGCAGCATGCACTAATACCAGTAATAGTATTCTCTTCGTTCCTAATTACTTGTCGCACGGATGGATGTATCTAGATGTATTTTAGTTCTAGATACATCCATTTCTGCGACGAGTAATTTGGAACGGAGGGAGTAGTTATCAGCTTTGCGTAGACCCCGAACATCACAGAGCTTCTGATCAAGCATCACTAAAATAAAACATGAAGGAAAAGAAAAGAGTAATTAAAAAGCCGCAGATGCTTTCAGACCTCTGTTGAAGTCCAATGGTGCATCTCATAGATTCGGTTGGGCGACGAACAGCAAATGGCAACTGGCAAGGTCACAACGCTGTCACTTTTTTGTAAGAAAGACATGGTCAGAAGATAAGGGATTACGTTGTCAATTCAGTTGTTGAAGGAGTGACTGTTAAACGATAGGCTTGTAGAGAATGTATAGATAGAAATACGTGACAACATATCACGTATGTGTTGTAACGCATACAATATATTTGGTACGGCAGGTTGTTAGCTAAATAGATCTTATCTTGGTATAGCTTGGAGTAGAGGTCAAGTTTGGCAACAACGTGCGCCTTCTTGTAATCTGTCATTAAATACATTATAACTGAGCATTTTTCCTGCCCTCCCAGGCCATTAGTATTTTTAACCGTTGGATCATCACTTTTAGGCATCGTTGGCCGTCAGATTTGCTCCTAATAGCACCCAAATCGCGCCTACAGACTTCATGACGAGCACTAACCCTGTCGGGCCGCTGGGGAAAATATCTGGTACTCCCATCTCTAGGGTGCTCCTGGTGCTCCAAACTCGTTAGCACATTTTAAAATATTCGAAAAATTCTAAAAAAAATCCAGCACATTGGCACAACATCAATGTATGTTGTTAAAAAAAATTCAAATCAAAATCCAAAACAATGCTCGAGATACAAAAATGACAAAATGTACATCATTGTGATAATTGGCCAAATCTAAAACCCAACTTATGTTGTGTACTATTTACTGTTGAATTTGTCATTTTTTATGTCAAGCAATGTTTTGAGTTTTCATTTCATATTTTTTGACAACATACATTGATGTTGTGCCAATGTGCTGGATTTTTTAAAGAATTTTTCAAACATTTTAAACTACGCTACCGAGTTTTGGAGCACCGGA